TCGAATATCGTCTCATTCGATAGCTTCTTGGATTCTGCATCATATGGCGACATTCTTCTCATGGTTCTCTTCTTTGATTGCTCTTTCCAGTGTGCCAAACATATTGTTACTTCGTTTCTGATATACTACTTATATCAGATTATAAGTAGCACTCACCACATAGTTCCTTTATGTATGATCCACAGAATCAGATGGACTGAAACATGAACATCGGAGTGACCGTTTGCAGGAGTCTGTTCTTCAAATTGTTAGAAAGCAGTGGACAGCTAGTGAATATCACTCTTACAGTTTCTGTAGAGAAGGTCTTCATTAGGGAACTAGAGATTCTCCTGTTTAGGATATCTGCTCCTCAGTATCCCTCAAAGTTCAACTTCATATAGAGTATTTTCTCAATTGCATTCTCCTCTTTTGTCTTTTGTTTGATTTTCTTTTCTTGTTGGACTCTACTCCTGTCTACCGTTTGTCATATGGATAGTAGATTTTCTCATGTATCCGGGATAGATGTTCAATCATTCCTATTGCACATGCTCTGAAAAATGATCCAACAGATTAAATGGAAAGAAAAATCCAGAACTTTTTCGAAACTGTCTGGTTACAAGTGATGACATTATGGCAAACTGTGTGATTCCTATAATAGACAAACTAACATGGAAATTCTGTTATCATATTAGGGAAGCTATATAACGCTGTTCGGCCAATTGATTGACTAACAAAAGTAAAGCTTGATCGTAATGGAAGATTTTATTTATAGAAAATATGACTTTATTTGATATAGCACACAGTGATATGTTATTACTAACAAGTGACATAATTAACACAATTCAGTACTCATAACTATATCAAAATAAGTCTGTGGAGCGACTGACCGACCTACTGTCTAATTGGTTGACTGACTGACTGAGTAAAGAATCAGAAACAGAAAAAAATGCCCATTGCCAAAGAGATCATAAAAGTGAATCAAACTACTGTAATGTGTCTAGTCCTATCTTCGGTGCAGACTGAATTATATCAGTCATGTTTGCAATGTGGCCACCATGCTAGGTGGCTCGCCATTACGGTGCACTGTGAATTGTTGGTATTAGATGGTTGGAGGCAATCGGCAGGAAGCCTTGGACCCAGGTTTCGTGCTAGTTGGCACTCATCAGCAAGGCGTATCTGCAACCTTGAAGGAACTGATGTCCCTTCTGAGATTCGAACCCGCGTCACCCAGTGCTGCAGTCAGAGACGTTACCACTGAGCTATTCGGGCTGGCGATTGACCTCCTGTAGGACTGTATTGGATATTTTTGATTGAACACTAGTCAGTAACTAGTGTAATGTGTCTAGTCCTATCTTCGGTGCAGACTGAATTCTATCAGTCATGTTTGCAATGGGGCCACCATGCTAGGGTTCGAATCTCAGAAGGGACATCAGTTCCTTCAAAGTTGCAGATAAGCCTTGCTGATGAGTGCCAACTAGCACGAAACCTAGGTCCAAGGCTTCCTGCCGATTGCCTCCAACCATCTAATACCAACAAGTGAATCAAACAAAAGACAAACAGAGGTAGAATCTGCTTAGGTGATCTGAGTCAAATGGGGATCAGCATAATGATAAGATTTCAATCAGGAAAGGATATAAACAATGAAAGCTACAGAAAATCAGCCATTACTGGGTGAATAACTGTAACGTTATACTTCAGACCGCTTACCACTGTACAGACACCAACCCAGAAAGTATTAACCTCAGGATTTTCATAGTATGTCTACTCTGGTTAAATGTAACCCCTCACTAATGACATTGGAAAATTCAAACAATTATATTTGATCATATCAAGGGACAGTGCCAATCACCATCAACTGTAGGGATTTGAAAGAGGTTACTTCATTCACTCATCCAGGGAGCATTGTCTAAACTACACGAGGAACGTACGAAGATGTGAAATCGAGAATCGGGAAGGCGAGAAACACATTCATCAACCTGAAACCAATCTGAACATCTACGTCACTCAACGTCAACAACAAAATTCGGATTCTCAACACAAACGTCAAGTCAGTCAGTTCTTCTATACGGATCAGAAACTTGGCGGTGGGTCACAAAGAATATTTCCAACAGCCTGTTGCAGACCTTTATCAACAACTGTCTTCGTTCTATACTACTGAAGATCAGATGGCCGGAAAGAACAAGAACCAACAAGAAGCTATGGGAACAAACAAACAAAACAAGAACCAATCGCTCAACAAATATGCAGGAGAAAGTGGAGATGGATTGGACACTCGCTGAGGAGGCCACCCGCTGGGTGGCATCGCGTGTCAGGCCAGTGCTCGAGTGGAGCCCGAAAGGGAAGCAGCGAGTGGGACGTCCAAGAGTGACATGGAGGAGATCGTGTGAAGAGGAGTTGAAACAGTATGGAATAACATTGATGCAGGTGAAAAGTACAGCAGAAGACAGAAGCAAGTGGAGACGTACAGCTGAGGCCCTTTGTTCCAAGAAGAACCCAACGGAACAATAATAATAACAGTATCATACAAAGGGAATGACGATCCTCTTGTCAATAAGGATATAAACTGTCATCCTGACCAAGCATTGGAACACTGAATATCTATAACGATACAGAGTAGAGATGAAGTACTTACCTAATTCCTCTGAGCAGTTAATGCTTCATTGTGCTGTTACTAGTTTGAATTAACAAATACATTGATATAAAATAAAATACTGTACTAAGAAAGTCAGCGTCTTTGAATATAACTCAAAGGAACTGTCAAACAGTTTATTACTTAGATGGGTTAAACTGGCTTATTATTGTTCCCTTGGGTTCCCAGTGAAACATAAGGCTTCAACAACACATCTACACTTCCTTATATTTTCTGCTGTCCTCTTCAACTGCACCCACCATAGCCGATAACCTCTCATCTCCTCCTAAAACCATCTCTCCCACGTCACACTCGGATGTCCATCTCAACGTTTCCAATTGGGATGCCACTCCAGAAATGGCCTGACTCGCGATGTCACTCAATAGTCTTCACAGTGTGTGTCCGATCCACATGCATTTCAATCAGCATATTTGTTGATCAATAGGTTCTTGATTGGTTTGTTCCCAGCCAGAGTTTCTTGTTGCTAATTCCTTATGGCCAGCCATTTAGCCTTCAATATGGAGCCAGTTGAGGCAGTTGTTGATGAAAGTCTGCTGTAGTCTGTTAGAAAAGTCTTTGGCTACACACTAAGTCTCGTAGCCATACAGAAGAACTGACATAATATTGATGTTGAAAATCTGAACCTTCTCCTTATGTTCGATTCAGAAGATTTCCACAATGATTTCGCACTAATGAAGGTCTGTCTTGTTTTCCTGATTCTGCCTAACTAAGTGGAGGAAGTAACCTCTCTCAAATCTCTCCTATTCATGGTGATTGGTACTGGTTGTTTCTGTTGGTTGGTTAGTTATCTTCACCACCTCCGTCTTCTCTATGTTCACTTGAAGTCCTGTCTTTTCTGGCTGCCTCTTCTGACAACTTGTTGGCTTTCGCCTGTAAGTCTTTGAGTTTGCGTGACATTATACCTAAATCATCGGCGAAATCCAGATATCCCAGAGTCTTCTTCTTATCTTTCCAATGTATTCCTATCTTCTCGTTCCCCACAGTCTACCACGTGATCCAGTTCACCGCAATTAGGAATATCATCGGTGACATTAGGCTACCTTGCCTTACTCCTGTCTTCACTTCACCGAGTGGCTTTGTGACACAGCTGTTGAATAAGTTTGATAAAGATTTGAGGCAGCTTGACTTACTTGACGCTAAATCTGTTTTATTTTATAACCCACTTAGTTACTGTAAGCTTACAGTACGATAAACCGTAAAATTTCTGTACTAAGATTAAAAATTCTCAGCAAGGATAATTCCATAGTCAGATAACAGATCACAAAAACTTAGAGGTTGACCGGTATGGAATACTGCTTACGTTCTTATATTGTAACAACAGCAGGCAAGACACGGAAGTCAAGTTTTATATTCAAGTGACCGAACCGCTATATATATATATATATATATACTTTTATATATTCTCTGATCAATCATTGAGCTTATGATTTCAGCTTGCATTAAACGACTTGAGCTAGAATGTTCAAATATATATATATATATATATATATATATATATATATATATATAGCATTCTGCTGCTAATGCAGTATTGAACTGTGGGAATATGTGAGAATAATATTCCGTTGGAACAAATTTTCTGTATCCCACTACCACAATATGTAATCCTAAAATTTCAGTAATGTACAACATGTCTTTGAAAATAACCAATTTTCTGTCCTCTTCATTCCATCTAGGATTGATGTCATTTAGAAAACCATTGAAGCCAAGGTAGTACTGGACAGCTGTTTCGTCCTAGTTTGAGACTCTTCAGCAATAGGCACTCACGATCCCAGCAGAAGTCAAACTCTATACCTTCAAGTTACAAGACCAAGTTTGTTGTCCATCCATCCAGCCACTTATGTCAGAATACTATGATCACTCGTGTCTGCGTACTGATCAAGAGTCCCAAGCTAGGATGAAACAGCTGTCCAGTATCCCATGGTCTCCAATGGTGATTCTCTAACTAACATCAATCCACGATCCAACTTGAGTGAAATCTGGATGTTATCAAAAATAACTTGTCAAATATTAGCTGGTTAAGCTAACTTTAGAAGAAGTTAAAAGTATTTACTATGTACTACCAGTTTGCTTAAGCAACAGCAAGCCAAAATTCAAGTGGTTTGACATGATTCTACTCCCTGAGCTAAGTCGAATCGGATACACCTCTGTTGAGCTTGCCGCCAAACTACCGAAACGGCTGTCCAGTGTTTTTGGACCACTTCGAAGATCTTGCTACCAAACCCTACTCGCTGATATGCCTGTATTCTACTACTCATACCAACCAATCAGTAGTATATATATACCATAATGTGAAACTGTTTACTATCTAGTAAAATCTTTGTTGTTTAATCTTAACTGCCTTTTTATACGTTTATTTTTCTCTAATAAGGTATTTACGGGTCACACTGATGTAGTGAGAAAAATTATATGTGCCAATGATTATATCCTAAGCGCATCACATGATAAAACAGCCATCTGTTGGAATTTTCATACTGGTCAAATTTTGAACACTTTCAAAGGACATACACGACTTGTTAACTCTATTGCCTATTATGGTACAGAAGTTAATCTTATTCAAAATGTGAATAACACTACTGAAACTGTATCAACTACTAGTCGTTTCGAATTCATTTATACTGGATCAGCAGATCATACAGCAAAATCATGGAGTTTTAAAAGTTCAAAATGTATGATCACTTTTGAAGGTCATACAAAACCAATCACAACTATGGAAGTGTTTAAAGATGGTGAAATCCTGTTGACTTCATCTGCGGATAATACAATACGCAGTTGGTTTACAGAGTCTGGTTTACCACAATTTGTATTTGTCGGTCATAAAGGAATAATCGTTTCTATGCATGTAAGTGTAATCATGTATAATAAGAAAAGTTTATAAATACCTTTTAATAATAATAATAATAATTGTAACAACAGAAGACAAGGGCCAGGCAACAGATCGTGCGTCAGTAGCACGGCGGTTAGGACTCTCGCCGATCACGCACATGGTCCGGAGTTCGATCCTCTGCCGACGCACAACTGATATCTATGGACGGCCTGAAAATTCCATACCTGTACCAAAAAATACGGTGTGGAATCAAGCTGTAATCAAAAAAAAATTATTAAGGAAATCAAAGCACATTTATATATTTTCATGTACATTATTATAGTTTAGTTAAGCAAACAAACACAGTCTTCTGATTGGTTGTTTCTCACTTAAAGTTAATCTTTCATCTCTTTGTGACTGTTTCTTGAATGTCAGATCATCTATATGTTAACTGTATCCGCCTACGCAAAGTCTGCTGTGGTCGGTTTTGAATCAGTCTTTGTTCATATATTCTCACGACCAATCTTGAGAACGTAAACATGGACAGTGTATTTACACAATGTACAGTATTTTCAGTGTAATTTACTGCATAATTTTTTCTCTTCATTCAGGATCTTCAAGTAATGTAGCAATCTATAGCATATCATGTGACAATATTATGTGAATATAGTATATCGTGCGTCAGACCATGGGTAGCAAGAAAACAGAAGTAAGTTGCACCCATAAGAAGACTCTAGAATATCTAGATTTCGCCGATGATTTAGGTATAATGTCACACAAACTCAAAGACTCACAGGCGAAAGCCGACAAGTTGTCAGAAGAGGCAGCCAGAAAAGACAGGACTTCAAGTGAACATAGAGAAGACGGAGGTGGTGAAGATAACTTACCAACCAACAGCAGCAACAGAAGATACAACCAATACCAATCACCATGAACGAGAGAGCTTTGACAGAGGTTACTTTCTCCACTTGTAACAACAGAAGACAAGGGCCAGGCAACAGAACCTTTATTATGAAAAATCAACACATATTTATACATTTTGACGTACATTATTGTAGGTTCATGTTAGTAGAAAATACAGCCTGTTGACTGGTTGTTTCTCACACAAAGTTAACCTTGCATCTCTTTGTGGCTGTGTCAGTTCATCTATATGTTAACTGTATCCGCCTGTCCATCTTGACCTTGTTTTCACATGACTAACATTAACCTCAATTACTGTCGACCGATTTGGCTAGCAACCATCTGTCACCACAATATGACTAATATTTGATACATAAACATTGACCTCAATTACTGTCAACCACTTGGCTAGTAGGCAGCTCCCACCACACTCGTCCGCCCGTCAAATAGTTTGGACTGAAGTCGGCTTGATCTTCTCGGTGCTGGCGTCATCGTTGGCTTGTCTCGCTCCATCCATTTCTGGAGCTCGCTGATGTTCACTTGTTTCTCTGTGTTTATCATTGCGATTGTGTTTGCGTAACCCCATCTCAACGTGACCATATATGGTCCTTCCCACTTTGGAAACTGTTTGCCTGACCCTGTCGCACATTCGTAGATATTTCGCCTCACACTTTCATTTGCTGCTTTCTTCCGACCTCCCAGCAGCGTCCCAAGTAGCAGCCTCATCGCTGACAGATCTTGAACGCCACTCAACTGCGAAGGAGCCTCAAAGTCCTGCCCGAAGATCCATATGTCTCCATCAAAAACTGCAGGGCATAGGCTTTCCATTTGTCGGTAGGCAGCGACACCAAATGTAACAACAGAAGACAAGGGCCAGGCAATAGAACCTTTATTACGGAAAATCAACACATATTTATACATTTTGACGTACATTATTGTAGGTTCATGTTAGTAGAAAATACAGTCTGTTGACTGGTTGTTTCTCACACGTAGTTAACCTTGCATCTCTTTGTGGCTGTGTCAGTTCATCTATATGTTAACTGTATCCGCCTGTCCATCTTGACCTTGTTTTCACATGACTAACATTGACCTCAATTACTATCAACCAATTGGCTAGCAGACACCTCTCACCACACACTTAGTTAGGCAAAATCAGGAAGACAACACAGACCTTCATTAATGTGAAATCAATGTGGAAATCTTCTGGACTCAGCATAAACAACAAGATTCAGATTTTCAACATCAATATTATGTCAGTTCTTCTGTGTGGCTACGAGACTTAGTGTGTTGTCAAAGGCATTTCTAACAGACTACATCAGACTTTCATCAACAACTGCCTCAACTGGCTCCATATTGAAGGCTAAATGGTTGGCCATAAGGAATTAGCGAGAATAAACTCTGTCTGGGAACAAACCAATCAAGAACCTATTGATCAACAAATATAATATAGTAGGAAATGGAGATGGATTGGTCATACGCTGAGGGGACCATCGAATGACATCGCGCGCCAATCTATTTCTCGAGTGTCATCCCAATGGGAAACGCTGAGATGGACATCCGAGTGTGATATGGGAGAGATCGTTTTAGGAGGAGATGAGAGGTTATCGGCTGTCGTGGTCGCAGTTGAAGAGGACAGCAGAAAATAGAAGAAAGTGGAGATGTGTTGTTGAAGCCTTATGTTCCACTTGGAACCAAATTATAGTAATAATGCTATTAGATTTGAAATACTGACTAACGCTTTATCACCTTAATTTTGTCTTTGTCTCCGCGAAATGCACACTGGTAGTCTGAAATCAAATTGGAATTTTTTGCCTGAGTACATTTGATAACTCATCAAAACTTCATACAATTTGTCTTCTTGTTGAGAAACATGTACAAAGCGAGAATTAAAAACGCACCTGGATGATATGCGCTTATATTTTTATCATTTTGCAAATCCCTTTCAACTCCTTACAATCGGTAAAAAGCGGTGTATGTATATGTATACATATGATAAAACAGGGTGTGGATATAATTTCGTCGCCATGGTAGGAACTGCGAATAACATAAGTTCGGAATGATGTCAGTCGTTAAAAGTATTCGGCATTAAAAGGATTCACTACTTAAACGATATTCAGATTATAGTATCTTAGATTAATTTCAATTGTTTGGTTTTCGTCACCAAACAACATTAATTTCAGAGATTATTCAAAAACCAAGGCGCACTCGACTCCTGTTTCGTCCTATTTCGGGACTCCTCAGAATACACGACCTTCCCCCTACAAGGACGGAATCTGGGAACTTCAGATTACGAGGTCAAGTGGCCACTCAGCCACTTCGGCTAAGTGAAATTCAATCACTAATAAATTCTAACTTTGTCAACTGGTGATTTGGCGCTTTCCTCAGCCAGTGGCTTTGATAAACATGCATTTCACCTTGACATGATGGACCCCAAGTAATCATGACTTCCCACTACAGCTTCAGGACATCAGTCCAGTAGCCATCAGTAAGCTGGCGATAGATATTCAGATTATAAAATTTGTCAGGATTTCGGATTACTTTCGATTGTTATAATTTCGAATGAATGGTTAATGAGATTGATCTAATAATCCGAAGGTTCCAGGTTCGATCCTTGTAGGGATAGTAGGGTGCTCTGATTGACAGTCCTCATACAGGACAAAGTGGATGTTCAGTGCTCCCTGGTTTCCTATGATCTTTCTGACTGATTTTGGTTCATAACGAAAATCTAATAACTGAAGTTAATCCGAAATTCTCACAAATCCTATTGTAACAACAGAAGACAAGGGTCAGGCAACAGATCGTTTATTAAGGAAAATCAACACATATTTATAGATTTTAATGTACATTATTGTAGGTTAATATTAGTAGAAAATACAGTCTTTTGATTGGTTGTTTCTCACACGTAGTTAACCTTGCATCTCTTTGTGGCTGTGTCAGATCATCCATTTGCTAACTGTATCCGCCTACGCAAAGCCTTTGTTCTCATTTTCTCACCACCTATATTGGGGACATAAACATTGACGTCAATTACTGTCTACCAACTTTGACTAGCAGCCAGCTCTCACAACACTATAATCCAAATATTAGTGACTTTGATTGTGATAATTCATCACTTTTATTAATACACTGTTTCATCAAAATTTGTGTATAAATGCGACTGTGCAACTTAGGAGGAGATTGAATTCACCGAAAAGGGCCTGTCCACTGAACTACTTATTTTATTGTTTTTATTAATGCCTAAATGGGGATTATTTAGTGAGTATTCTGTTTACCTTTCTACTGATACCGTTTACTGAGTTGTTATTTTTTTAAAACCGCCTCATTTCGCCATCAGTATTTCTTTGTTTTTACCTCCATAGTGTATGACAAGTGTTCAGAAGGTTATGTTTTTTATCATTTGCTAACCAACCAACAGCAACAAAAAAACCAGCACCAATTACCATCAACGGGAGAGACTTAGCAGAGGTTACCTCCTTCACTTATCTAAGAAACATCGTATCAACCACAGGCGACAGCACGGATTATGTCGAAGCCAGTCAGAATTGGAAAGGCAAGATACGCCTTCATCAACCTGAAATCATTTTGGAAATCTTATGCCCTGCACTCACTATAAAGAGCAAGATTCGGATTTTAAACACAAATGTGAAGTCAGTCAGGCAGTTCTTCTATACGGGTCAAAACTTGACACGCGCGTCAAGGAAAAGGATTTCCAACAATTTACAGACTTTTATCAGCAGCTACCTTCGTTGGCTCCACACTGAAGATCGAATGACCAGCCAGAAAGAATCAGTGACAAGAAATTCTGGCAACAAACCAACCAACAGTCGACGGCTCAACAAATATGTAGGAGAAAATGGACACGGATCAGGCATAACTTAAGCGCTACAGTCTAGCGTGACCAACTCGCCCTGTTCGTTTTCTAACTCAGAAGTGAATTGGATTCCGTCTACTATTGAGTTTATATGTGTTAAAGAATAAGGGATATGTTCAGATTTCAATACATTGAATGTGTCATCCACATATCTCCACCATAACTAGTAGATTGGGGTCAACTAGATTATTGGAATATAAAAATTTAGCTAGACCTAGAACAATTGACCCCGCTAAGTTAAATAACCTGGAAAAAAGCTCAGGCATTGCATTGCATTCACTTGCATGTAACCACAGAATAGGTGGTGTGAGACAGGGTGAGAATATTAAAAGGTAATATACTTAGGTGGAGACAGAGAAAGGTTAATCGTTGAAGCTTTGTTTATCGATTCAATACCGCACACGTGTAATCGGAATGATGCAACGCGGCCTATACCGGAGATATGGAAAGTGGCAACAAACAACAAAGGGAAGTTGGAGAGACAGAATGAGAGAAAATATATATAAGACAAATTGTGAAACAGTGTGACTAAAATTGATACGATTATGAGCAATAATTTATGCTCGAAACCTTGTCATCCAGTTGCTAATACTGCATCATCACTATGTGATATTTAAAATAACCTTACCTATTATGGAATTAAGTTTCATCACAGTACCCAAGTTCTACACTTGCATTAATAAAGCTCATAAGACTAGAAAACCTAAATTTGATGTGCATGAAGTCAAATGAAAAAATGAAGATGATGATGAGGATGCAATACAGTGAGTTGAATTCAAAGGATCAAAGATTAAATCTAATGTGAAAAATCGAATCACCCAACCAGAAAGACACAACTGAAAGAACTGAAAACCTACTTACAAAATTGCTGAAGAGAATGAAAGAAGATTCAGTCATAACATCGGAGGTTTATGAGCAAATAAAACCATGCAGTTCAACTATTTCAAGACTGTATGGACTGCCTAAAGTGCATAAGGAGAATGTCCCACTTCGACATGGTTAACTCACCATATCAACAAATCGCGAAGTGGCTAGCTGATATCCTCGAACCAATTAAGAGACATAAGACAAAATATAGCCTCAGAGATACAGTTGACTTCATCGACTCAGTGAAGGATGTCAACGTGTCTGAAAGACAAATGATCTCACTAGATGTCACCTCTCTATTCACAAGTATCCTCCTAACCGAAACAATATGCTTCATTTGTAATTACATCGAAACCAACAACCTAGAAGTTCCCCCCCCCCCCAATAAACTACCTGAAGGAACTTCTCAGATGTAAGTTCAATATCCAGTTAAAATTCAATGAAAAGTTCTATGTACAGAAAGATGGGGTAGCCATGGGGTCTCCTTTCGGTTCACTCCTAGCTGACTGCTTCATGGTGAGTCTTGAAAACAACATCCTCAATCCCTTGATAAGTCAACTGCACTTATACAAGAGATACGTAGATGATATGTTTATTATCTGTGATGAAAATTAAGATTTAGATTCTCTCCTCAAAACCTTCAACGCAGCGCATCCATCAATAAGTTTCACCTTAGAACGGGAATGGAACAACGTATTTCCATTCCTTGATGTACTACTCACCAGACGACACGACTGTACGATCCAAAGATTGATATACCCCAAGCCAATATTAAAAAGTCAAGAGAAAAATGGGTAGAGGTGGGTTGAAACAAAATGAAGAATGCAGAAGTTATAGAGTTACTAAGGAGAGAGTTATCCGGGTAAATGAAGTCCCACAACAGACTTCTTTTCAACATTTACGTCAGATTTCAGTCGTTTTATTGCGGTAGCTTCAGTACACTGAAGAAGGCTTGAGCTGTTTTGTCTCGTTATTATTAATTTGGGTTCCCCAAATACATCCACTCAGTGTTCTGTTTCCATCAGGTATTATTAGTCTTTTTTAGGAGAAATTTCGCTCTTATAATGTATATATATACCAAAAATTTGAGATAACCTTACCAACTGTATGTTTTGTTTCACTGTGAATATCTTAAAACAATCCTAACTAGATAACTGATTTTTGATGACGAACAAAGCAAACTTAACCAAATTGCTACGGTAACTTCAACGCATAAATATATTAAAAATACCAAAAATATAAACAATAACCTTATTTTTCGCTGGAATCGGGGAAGTGAAATGACGCAGGCCGGTGAAAGCCTTCGGGAAGCCAGTCAGCCGATGTGCCTTCTTTCGATGAAAGCAAAAATAAGGATGGGGACGTGGAATGTTCGTACAATGTACGAAGCTGGGAAGGCTGCTCAGGTAGCTGCAGAAATGAGAAGATATGGAATAGAAGTGTTGGGAATCTGCGAGAGCAGATGGAACGGATGTGGAAGGTGCCAACTATCAACTGGAGAGACGGTAATCTATTCCGGTCATCCAGAGGACAACCATGAGCACACCGAGGGAGTAACCATCATGATGTCACCAACAGCAGTCAAAGCTCTCATACAGTGGGAACCAATCTCCTCCAGGATAATGACAGCTAGGTTCAACTCAACTTCATTCAATTATCTAGGGAGCATTGTCTCAACTACACGAGGAACGGACGAGGATGTCAAATCGGGAATCGGGAAAGTGAGAAACACATTCACCAACCTGAAACAAATCTGGAAATCTTCGTCACTCAGCATCAATAACAAAATTCGGATTTTCAATACAAACGTCAAGTCAGTCAGTCCTTCTATACGGATGGATCAGAAACTTGGCGGCGGGTCACAAAGAATATTTCCAACAGCCTGTTGCAGACCTTTATCAACAACTGTCTTCGCTGGCTCTATACTGAAGATCAGATGGCCGGAAAGAATCACCAACAAGAAACTATGGGAACAAACAAAACAAGAACCAATCACTCAAGAAATATGCAGGAGAAAGTGGAGATGGATTGGACACTCGCTGAGGAGGCCACTGGGTGACATCGCGCGTCAGGCCAGTGCTCGAGTGGAACCCGAAATGGAAGCGGCGATTGGGACATCCAAGGGTGACATGGAGGAGATCGTGTGAAGATGAGTTGAAACAGTATGGTCTAGCATGGACGCAGGTGAAAAGTACGACAGAAGACAGAAGCGAGTGGAGACGTGTAGTTGAAGCCCTATGTTCCACTAGGAACCCAAGGGAACAATAATAATTATTATTAGGTTCGACGCAGCTGCAGAGAACTAGTGCAATAAACTGAATCCATAGTATTCTGCACGAATGTTTACTCTATCTGTCTCTGCTCAAATTTATAAGGTGAAACATTTTCTTACTTGAAAATCATTAAAAATCAAATCACAAATGACCGTGGATGGATTGTTTACTATATGTAATCAAACAGAAAAGGAGCCGGTGGAAGACTGCAACTTTTCTTAAACACATGCATCTATAATAACCATGTGTTTATGTGTATCTGCAACGGATTGGACGTTGATATTAAGAGGATGTGAAGCACCTAGAGTAAAGGTTATTATTACTATTCCCTTGAGTTCCGAGTGGAACATAGGACTTCAACAACACATCTCCATTTCACTGTGTTCTCCACAGTCCTCTTTTTGGCTGACTTCACGACGGCCCCTAAGCTTTCATAACCAGCCACTTGATCTTCAATATGGAGCCAGCTGTTGAAGTGTTCTTGGTGGCGCTCCAAGTTTCTGACTGATATAAAACAATGGACTGAATAGTGGTGTTAGGGATCTGAATGTTGTTCGTTATGCTAAGTTAGCATGAATATTAAACCATTAAATTATTTAGCAATCAAAATATTATATGTTGTTTTCAAAGTTCACATCAGCATGGATAACCCTGGTGTAAATGAGATTACTTTATGGTGCGTCGGTGGCACAGCGTTTAGGACTCTCACCGACCATGCACATGGTCCGAGGTTCGGTCCCCGGACGACGCACACCTGATATCAATTGGAAGGCCTGCAAAATTTGGTCTACCGATATCGCATGCTGAAAATTCCATACTTGTACCAATAATGCGGCGTGGGATCACTCTATAATCAAAAATAAATAAATAAATAAAAATCCTAATCGCTTATCTTAGATCTTAAACAAATATATTCAACAAAATATCCATTCAAAGAATATTGAAGACAACTTTTTAAGCTTGAATAACTTCAGTTTTCTCTCTCTCACTCACTCTCTACGTTCTTTTCTTTTATCTCACTATTTAGATAAACAGTGCCAATAAAATGTTATTCACAGGCAGCATAGATCATACAGCAAGATCATGGTCAATTGAAACTGGTAAAGCTATAAGAACTTTCTCCAGACATGGTCGTGCAGTGAATTATGTCAGAAATTATAAAACAATGCGTAAGCTGCTCACAAGCACATCATTATTTCACTAAAAATCATCTTGTAAAAGATAAAATATGCCTTCCGACTATAAACGCTTTAATATCTCATAGCATTATTTCGTTTATATTTTGTTTTCAATTGTAATTTTATTATTACTAATACTTTCATGTGTCTTACTTCTATGCTCATCGCTAACTGATGCGGATATGACTCACTGGCTTGTGCACACGACTTTCAACCTATGCGTCTTGGGTTCGAGTCACGCTCCACCTACTTCAGCCTGAGTGGCGACTGGGTAGCATCACCAGCTCTCACACAACAAGCGTAGCTCGTATAGCCTAGTACATGAAATGTTTGATCCGGATAACTCATTCACTACTAAATGGTCTTTGTTAACAAATACGTCAATTATTATAATTAGTGTGCGTCGGTGGCATAGCGGTTAGGACGCTCGCCGACCATGTACATGGTCCGGGGTTTGATCCCCGGGCGACGCACTCCCTTTGCCTCGCTAAGCCAGAACTAAAAGCTGATGAAGAGGAAAGGTTGGGAATGAGGCTGGCAACCCCATCCTGTAAAAATAATCACCACTGCTACAGAAACTTCAAGCCTCTAGCTTGAAGCCCTATGTTCCACTGGAAATGTGAAGGAATAAAAAAAATTATAATTAGTAGTAGTAACCCTTCATTTGTAAATATCAAAAGATCGTGTAGCTGAAGTATTCAGGACATAACTCATACAGTTTCGATTTCAATATTCATAGTTATTTTCATAGCATCACCTTCCGAGTGGAGCATACACCTTCAACCTATAGAGATTTGAAGTTTCAGTATCGATGATGTTTTTTCTTCAGTTGGATGGGATGGGGGCCCTTGAGCGGAACCCGAAAGGGAAGCGGCGATTGGGACGTCCAAGGGTGACATGGAGGAGATCGTGTGAAGAGGAACTGAAACAGTATGGATTAACATGGATGCAAGTGAAAAGTACAGCAGAAGACAGAAGCAAGTGGATACGTGCAGTTGAAGCCCTATGTTCCACTAGGAACCCAAGGGAACAATAATAATAAATCCTAGGCCTAACTTTAAGTTAGCTGTAATACACCCTAAATCTAATTTGTCTCCAACTTAATCCTAATCCTAACCTTTTCCATAACCTAACCAAAATCAAGTCTTAACTTAACCCTAATCTAAGTCATTTGGGTGAATTCCGAAACTTGTATAGGATTATTATTATTCCTTTGGCTTCCTAGTGGAATTTAGGGCTTCAGCAGCAGCACATCTCCACTGCTTTTCAGATGGCTTCACAATTACCGAGAAGCTCTCATCTCCCTTGGCATACTATCTCATCCATGTCACTCTCAGAAGCCCAACTTGTTGTTTCGCATTCGGCTCCCATTCGATGGCCTTCATGGAGTGTGATGTCACTCACTCACTGGTCCCCTCAGCGTGTGTCCAATCCATCTCCATTCCCTTCGGAATATTTGTTCTGGTTTGGTTAGTTGTCAAAGGTACTTATTTTTAGTCCTTTCCGACTGGCTATTTGATATTCACTATAGAGCCAGCGAAAGCAGCTGTTGATAAAAATCTACAATAGGCTGCTGAAATACTTTTGCCTGTCTGTTTTCGACATAGAACTTTGCACATATGTGCGGCAGTTCAAGTCGCCACACTCCATGTAGCACTCAAAGTAAGAGAAGAAAGTAGGAGAAATGCATAATATAGTCAGTAAACAGAGGTGTGAGACAAAGGAATAGTAATAACGAAGAACAAAACAGTTTCATTGGAAATCATGAGTTACAAGGAATGGATGTATCTGCACCAGCCATTGAGAACGACGATTTTGAGCCATGTCACCAATTGTTTCCAACCACTGATTTTTACTGTCCCGAGGACCCCAACCAGTCAGGAAGTCTACACATTCCTATATGGCTTAGACTAACTGTTGTAGATTTCATTGACTGGTGCCATGTTTTGGCTTGACCGCCGCTCTCTCTTTTCCAGCCTGACCCTATATCAGCTAACATTGACCGTCGAGGAAGGCGATGACTAAGCATACGTAACACATGTCCTAACTATCTCAGTCGATGTAATTTCACAGTCATGTTGTTTGATTTCCCCTCCTTACCTAGCACTCGACGCCTAACCTCAGTATTGCTCACCTTATTATACCACTTCACGTGGGAGATAAAACGCAGACACCTATGATCAAAGACAGCTAATCTTTCCATATCTGTGACTCTCAATGGCCAGGTCTCATAGCCATAAAGGAGGACGGAGTGGACTGTTGAGCAGTACACACCCCTTTGGTCGATAGTCGGATATCGCGTCTACGCCAGAGACGGCGTAAACTAGCATATGCGAAACTAGCCCTCTGTATCCGTGCTGAAATTTCGTCAGAGATCAACCCGATGGCACTGGCTGATGGTACTTCCCAAGTAAGTGAAGCGGTCAACGTGCTCTACCACTTCACTTCCTATTTCTAATCTAGAGGTCGGTGTAGTCCAATTCTGCAACATCATCAAACATTTTACAGGGGCTGTCTCCACCGTACTTAAATACCTCTGGAGTCAATGCATCAGGTCCCGCTGCTTTGCCTTGCTTCAGATTAGTGACAGCTTTAGTAACCTCAGTTAAGGAAGGAGGACCTATGTCTATATCCCATTCACGGAGGTGTTGGATGTTCGGCAGGTTAAGTGTGTCTGTAGGCCAATTAAACTGCTCCTCACAGTGTTCTTTCCAGCGTTCCAGTCGTCTACCCTGGGAGCTAATTATGGTGTCATTTTTCTCCGAGATTGTTTCACTTATCATTTGCCTTTTGCCACCTGTTTCCTTGATAAGCCTGAATAGTTGTCTGGTGTTGCCAGTCGCGCCAATCCTCTCATCTACACAGACGTATTGATATTTGATATTTATTAGTCTTTAAAATCCGAATCTTGTTCTCTATGCTTAATGCAGTAGATGTTTTCAGGCTGATTTCAGAGTAATGTAGGTCTGCATTGCCTTTCCGATCCTGGCTGACTTGTAGCTGAAACAATCCTGTCTAAATAAGTGAAAGAAGAAGTCAGTCCTTTCAAATTTCTCCCGTTTACAGTGATTGGTGCCTTATTTTGTTGTTGGTTAAGTATTTTTATGACCTCTGTCTTCTCTGTGTTCACTTGAATTCCTATCTTCACTGCCCACCTCTTCTGACAACTTGTTGGTTTTTGCCTGTAGATCTTCGAGTTTGTATAACATTAGACGTCCACATAAGAGGTCGGTAGATATTCTTTTAACACGCCAAAGAAGATTTTTTATGCATATGATTTTGCTTACCTGGCTTTCTATAATTGTTCCGTGCAAGATGATTAGTGTGTTGGTTTCTTTTGGATCTTGACATCTCTTTCTTTACATTTTATCGACACTCTGTCATGATTAATGTAATAACCTAACAAGCAGTCTGGCTGTAGTTCCAAAAATTTAATTCTCTTCATATTTTTGTTAACATTTATTGCCTTCTATTTAAAAAAAATTAAATCAGGACAAACTGTCTAATTCCGCCTCCTCTATGTGTATCTACCAGTTTGACCGCTCCTGTAGAGCTAGTTATATTAGGAGTACAATTAGGCAGGCTCATTTCCGAACATCATCTCATGCATCGTTAATCAAAAGAGATAAATAAGATCTATTCGTAGATCTGTTTTAGTACACCAATGTAGACAATGAGCATAAAGTTGTTACTAATAAGGTCGTGACCAGTAGGGTGCAGCAGATGGGGTGTGAGGACAAATACTCGCCGAAGACATTGGCTAGCGGTTGCGCTATGTCGTAAATTGGCAGAAGTTAGAATTCATGGGCCATTCGGTCGGGTCCCAGTGGCTTAATGGTATACGAGCTCGCCTTGTAACCAAAAGGTCCTGGGTTCGAACCGCGGTGGGTGCGTACTGATGAAAAGCCCCAAACCGGGACGAAACAGCCGTCCAGTACTACCAGGTTTTCCAATGGTTCTCTAACCAATGTTAGCTCATGATGAAATCCTGTAAAGCATTTAAAGTTATTTATGTCACTCCGACTAGTGTTAAAATTTTGCTTTACGAGTTCGTCTTCTGCACACAGTTGAAACCATCAGAATCCACGTAAAGAAGCCAAACTTGTATGTTCAGAAGGAATTCGTACAGCCACTTTCTTTATCTTGGCCATCATTATACTTCAGCAGAAGAAGAAGAAGACAAGAATTTTGGTGTCGTATCGCTACATAACTAAATTATGTACGCCTTACCTTCAACGCATTATTTGCACAAGTCTTCCGTGACGTGCTACTTCCGGCCTTCCTTCATATTGTGTTTCTTTGTGTTCCTTTCAAGTCTTCTATGTTTCTCCGCTACTTTGAATCATTTGTTTTCTTTGACATCAAATCTATCGCCTTGCTACTGAATATTTTTATGCCAATCTTATATACTACTGATAAATCTTATCAGTAGAACACGCCACAAAAACCAGACAATTTCCCTCTCCCCCAAAACCTTCTACAAGTTGTCACTGTCCAAATTATTTTATTTTTCTGACTACTTCATCTTTATTTGCTTATTACGTAACCAACTTGAACACTCATTTATTCCTTATTAACCCCTTATTTCTCCGAAATCATGCTTTATGCAATCAACTTGTTGTAGCCATTTCTACCCTATTATAATTGATTAAAGATGCCCATTCGTAATTTCAAAAGATTGATTACTGAACAGAGAATATTCCTAGTTAATTATAATCCTTCTTCTGATATGCTGATATCGACTAATAATTCTTAACAAACTTACCACTGCCACTAGACTGTTAGATTTTTTGTATTGTGGATTAGAGTAAAGCCCTAGGTGAGGAGGATCTAATTGAAAAGTAAATATTTCTTCACTCAATCCTGTTGTCTTCTCAAAAGTCTTAAAATATTTAAACATCATGACGATTATAATCTACTTTCATTAAATCTAGCATAACTGGTGAACATCTCAATCGTCTGTCAGTGGAATTTCCACCAACGAAGAATTACCGTTTAAAATTCAATTTTAGATTTTCCCGTCGATTGATTGGACCGAAGTACCTGCAGATGCTTCGACGATGCCTAAGCATGTAATTAGAAGTTAATTGGTGGATGGTGACTAGCAGTGGAATCCAGGATGTGCATTTCGTCCTATTTGGGACTCGTCATCTGGATGTATCTGCATTCCGCAGTGAGTGATGATGTTCCTAAGTGGTTTAGTGGATAATGCTTTGGCGTTTGAAACCATGGGCACTGGGTTCGAGCCTCGGTGGGAACACCATCACTGACTCACTGGGGGAATGCAGGTACATCCAGATGACGAGTCCCACATTGGACGAAATGCACATCCTGGATTCCACTACTAGTCACCATCCACCAATTAACTTCTGAAGAATTACTGGTTTCCAATTTACTATGGTACATTGAACGTCAGTGGTTCATTGGTAGAATGCTTGTCAACCACGCACGTGGTTGGAGATTCAATTCTCGGTTGATGCACTTTCAATCCTTACTTAGCCTGTGGCAAGCCTGGTAAGGAGGGTAGGTAGAGCGTGAGTCTAACACCCCCCCTGCAGAAGAGACAACACCATAACAGCTGAAACTTCAGAGCTTAAGTCTGAAGACCTGTATTCTATTGCGTATGCGTAGGAATAGAAAAATAATCAGTGTTACTTTTTAAAATAGCCTTCCTGTGTCTTTGTGTGCTCCGAACTTAACTAGGTGGTTTATTTGAAGCGTTAAAGATGTTGGTTGTCTAGAGGGACAATGAAAACTGTTGAGTTAACCAATGAATTTAATACTTATGCGGATATTTCCAAGTTGGTTTGCAGACATTTGATCGATTTCAAGTTGTACTACAAACACTGAAATCAGTTAGACAAACATTGAAAACTAGGGGGTATTTGGACAGATGTTTTCTCCTAGTTTGAAACTCTTCAACAATATACACCTATGACCCCACGGGGAGTAGAAACCAGGTTATGTGGCGAGCCTGTTGACCATCCACCCACTGGGACGGAAGCGAGACAGCCCTTAAATTCTAAATTCTGCCAGTTTTCGATATGTAGCGCCACCGACAGTCAGTGTCACCGGAGAGTATTTGGCCCCACACCAGAAGTGGTTAACCCCACTGCCTGGAACTCCAGGCAACTTCGTCTAGGTTAACTTTCAAGTGTTGCTTTGCGTGGATTTGATTGGTATGTACATCTTTCTTGAATAAATTTATGTATGAATCACAGATTAATTATTTCGTTTATTTTATTATAATATTTTTAATTTTAGTGATAACTGCATCGAGTGATGGTTATGTGAGATTATTCGATGAAAAGACAGGTGAACTATTGAAAGTGTTTATGCATACAAACAAAGAAGGTTGTGTTGCTTTTGAGGTAAGTTTCAATCTGTTTTATTTACTTAAATGTATATAAATTCAAGTTAATTCTCGTTACTTTTTACTTCCCGACTTATAGCTGTTACGCTGACACGTGGTAATGCGGTTTGTATATCTGCATTGATTGGCTGGAATAAAAGTTCCTGCAGATCCTGTCATACCAGTAGAACTATGATCTGAGTAGCTGAGATGAGTAGCTGTACACCACTCCGTCTCTGTCTGCCAGTTTTCGACATAGAACTTTGCACATATGTGCGGCAGTTCAAGTCGCCACACTCCATGTAGCACTCAAAGTAAGAGAAGAAAGTAGGAGAAATGCATAATATAGTCAGTAAACAGAGGTGTGAGACAAAGGAATAGTAATAACGAAGAACAAAACAGTTTCATTGGAAATCATGAGTTACAAGGAATGGATGTATCTGCACCAGCCATTGAGAACGACGATTTTGAGCCATGTCACCAATTGTTTCCAACCACTGATTTTTACTGTCCCGAGGACCCCAACCAGTCAGGAAGTCTACACATTCCTATATGGCTTAGACTAACTGTTGTAGATTTCATTGACTGGTGCCATGTTTTGGCTTGACCGCCGCTCTCTCTTTTCCAGCCTGACCCTATATCAGCTAACATTGACCGTCGAGGAAGGCGATGACTAAGCATACGTAACACATGTCCTAACCATCTCAGTCGATGTAATTTCACAGTCTCGTCGACTGATTTCCCCTCCCTCCTTACCTAGCGCTCGACTGAAGCCTAACCTCAATATTGCTCACCTTATTATACCACTTCACATGAGAGATACAACAAAGGCACCTTTGATCAAAGACAGCTAATCTTTTCATGTCTTCCACTCTCAATGGCCAGGTCTCGTTCACAGCCATAAAGGAGGACGGGGCGGACTGTTGAGCAGTGCACACGCCCTTTGGTCAATAGTCGGATATCACGTCTACGCCAGAGACGGCTTAAACTGACATATACCAGTAGGATCTTTTGAATAGCGATTAAACTAAAAGCAATTACCAATAGATTGTTAATAGCTCATATTATGTTGATGATCTGAGGGCAGAATTGTACTGCTAGTGAATATTGATGTAACAGCAGTAAGGCGTTTCTCCCTGGCACGATCAGTAAGTCAGGCATGCTGTTTACTCGCTGTGAGGAGGTGGAGTTGAAAAAGATCCACCCGACAAAGTTATACATTTCGACTCACCTTATGATGGTGCGTAACTGGCGGTAAGATCTTCATACTGGCACGACTTCAAAAACCACTTCAAATGTGACGTATGTGATCAGCCTCAAGCAGTTATTCGCTGGGCTTTTCTCATGTCAGTGTGCACTAGTAATTCGGAAGTCACTGATTCAAATCTTGCCGTCTCTTAAATTATCGCTTTATCTTCAGGTATTACCGACTACATAGTACATACAAAATGATATTTTTTATACAGTTCTTGTGTATTATTATCATTCCCTTGGTTTCCTAGTGGAACATACGGCTTCAACTGCACATCTCCACTTCAACTTGTTCTCTGCAGTCCTTTTCAGCTGGTTACGCACGATTGTTCACAAGCTTTCGTGTTGTCTGTGTCATCGTCGGACACATATTCAACTCGTTTTTTGCCACTCGAGTGTGTCGTCACTCAGTGTTCTCCTCAGAGTGTATCCGATCAGCATTTACTCAATATAATAGTAATAATAATAATTTGCTTTATTCCAGAAACATTACTAGTGGTACAGTGTGGAATTTTCAGCACATATCTACAATATTTGCATCTAAATTTATCCAACGTTTAAAAGGAGTATTTCAAAAAAAATATAAAGATACCAACAGCAAAATAACACGAAAAACACAAAAATAATTTTTTCAAAAATGCGAAAAAATACCAAGAGGTAAAAAGGAAAATAAACAGCATTTATTAATAACTCAGTATTGGGTAATAGAAGCTATGATATGATTATGCATGGTGACAGTAAAGCTATAGTCATACAAGAAGTTATGAAATGATATTTAAGAATATTTATCACCAAGATCATCAGTTAATTTGGTTGAAACAACACTAAACAATAATAAAATAACATTTCAGGGTTTTTTATTGACAGCTTTAATGCGATGTTTGTGGTGTGGGTAATCCTGCATAATACAAAATTTTAAGGTGGTGACAATGGCGTTCACAACCAATGATTGCCAGTTAATATTGCCGAAAAGTAAAGAAAATAAGAAAAAACAACCACAAAACTAATAATTACATGATGGTTAATGACAGGACAATTTTGTAATACTCATAGTGCTAATATAGTCGGAACCAGTAGATACACAACATAAGGAATACAGTAAAGTACAAAAAGTAAGCCAATGTTAATAATTTAGGTAGATAAGTATGTTTAAGAAGGAGTTCACTATAGAATGCAAAATAAGAGAGAAATAAAATTATGTTGTTAACAACAAAGCAAGTCATAGGTTTTGCGCTTAACATTGTCTCTGTCGTTTAGAACACGGGCCAAGTATGGTATTGTTGAGTTCCTGTACTTGGTTGTACGAGCAAAAATTATTTTATACTGATTTCTGGTTCTACCTGATGAGATACAAGGTGAGAGTTGGGAATAGAGGGGGTGTCGGGGGTCGGAGAGTATGGTTTTAGACCATTTTTCGCATGTATTCAGATGCCTTTCATCTAATGTAGTGACGAGCTGACTGAGTTTTAGACCACTAGTCCTACTAACTACCTTCAACATCCTTCTCAGGATTTTATAGTCCTTTTTCAGTAGACCAGGAAAGACTAACGGGGAGCAGTAAAGTAGAATAGGTAAGATACAAGAGGTGACAAATTGTGAAAGTAGAGGTTGGGTGATTCCAGATTGTCTAAGTTTCTTAATGTAGTAGGTTAGACAGAACACTTTCTTAGAAATCATTAGGATATGAGATGTCCAAGTAAGGTTGGAAGATAGAACTAGACCGAGGTATTTTGCATTAGACTTAGTTTGCTTGTTTATATGAGAAATGATACTTTGCATAGTACAGTTCTCGTATACTAAATCGGTACAAACAAACTCTTGAAAATTAATCTGGTGCTCACTAGTGACTGGCTTCAGAATGAATTTGTCTACAGTTCTAGTGAGAAGTCGTTAGTAGTGGGATCCACCTGGCCGGGAGTCAGGACAAATACTCGTCGATGACATTATCTGGTGGTCACTCTAAAATCACGAATTAGTAGAATTTAGAATTCATGTGCTGGTCACTGAGTGTTGTCCCAGTGGCTGAATGGTCTATGAGCATGCCTTGTAACCAGAAGTTCCTGGTCTCCGAACCCGGTGGGCGAGTGAGTAATGATGATGAATTCCAAACTAGGACGAAACAGCTGTCCAGGTCTACCTGCCGCTATTCAATGGTTCTCTAACTGACTTCAAACCGTGACTACACTTCAAACAAATCAATTTCCTACAAATAAACTTTTAAAATATTAACTGGGAGTATATTTTTAGCATACCCTAAGGTTTATACCTTGTTTGGAATATTCTGATGAAAATCAATGAGATCCTAATATTAAGCTTAAGCGTTGTCAATATGCAAGTTTAATAATAAAGCAAGTACAATTTTTGGTGTTAGTTGACTTACCATTCTCAAAAGCCCCATTTTATGCATGTAAGATAGTCAAAGAGATGCACAGAAACTTCACTTAATTCGAAATCCCAAAAATAAAGAATGAATGACCATGAATTGCGATGAAGTTAAACGAAGTAGTTAAATAAAGCATCTTCTTTGAAGTTTATCTACCAGATGCAACCACATCGATGCCATTATTCTAAATGAGACTTAACGCAGAACTCACTGTGTCTGACGATAACTGCTATCCTGACCTATTGGTCAGACATGCATATTGTGATGACCCAAAGAGCTACACTCGCTGGAGCGATCGTGTCATACCAGGCAATTCAGTTGGACAGTGGTCAGACAGAAAGCAGTGTCCACGGTCTGGGGACGAAACTGCACTACTGACGAAGAGGGGTGTAATAGCAGTAAGGTGTCTCCGTAAGACAACCGATAAGCCAATTATGCTGCCTCTGACGGAGGGAATTTTAGAAAATGTCAACCTTGTAGCGGTAACATCTTCATACAGAGATAAATCCATACAGGCCATATGTGACGAACCTCAAGCAGTTATCTCCTAGAATCTGAGGTCACGCAACACTATTACTACTTTAGTTTCAGGTACTTCAAGAAGAAATCAACTTCCACAGTGTGGACAGTCGGGAAGTAATAACCTCCAACACACTTCCATACGCACACACAAGGCATTCCTGGTCACTTGTTGTGTTATCCAGTAGCCGATTGAGTTACATTAGGCAAATCAAGCATAACGACTATTAGTTCTTCAGCGGTACTTTTAGTTTCTCTAGCTAATAAGTTCCCAGAAATGATGTAGTGCACATCTTGATTTCGAAATGTTGTAATATCCTGCCAACAAATTTCATGTGATTGCCTGACTGTAACAGAAAGATTAAACGCCTGATACTTGGTACACCTTGGTGACCAATTAATGTAAACCATCACAGTATAAATAGGCCAAATAGCTCAGTGGTGACGACTCTGACTGCAGAAATGGGTAACATGAATTTGAATATTTCATGAGACACTAGTTCCCTTGAGATACAGAATATGCCTTGCTGATAAATGCTAGGAGGCGCAGAACATCGATATAAAGCCTCTTAACGATTAAGTACTGCTGACTGATTGATATGAGGAGTTGGATGCCACTCAAGTCAACCTAGTCAGATCGAAGTGGTCAAACCAACGGATGGTCATTTCTCTGGTTTGGGACAGAGCTCATTAGCAGTGTACACCCACTCACCTCACCTCAGACAGCCGAATGATTTCAAATCACCCGAATTCTGCCTAGTAGTTCCTGTCGGTTGCCTCCAACCCTCTACCTCCCAATTATTGTTATTCTATCATTGATTGATTGATTGATTGTCAAAACCACAATAGGAAAAGCAAAACAGACCTTCAATACTCTGAAATCAGTTTGGAAATCTTCTCTACTAACTCACCATAAACAACAAAATTCGGATTTTCAACACCACTGTTCAGTCAGTTAGTCACCCCTTCCAAATGCGTCAGAAACTTGGCACGCCACAAAAAGCATTTATAACAGGCTACTGAGGACTTTCATCAACGGCTGTCTTCGCTGGCTCCATATACTAAAGATCAAATGACTGCCCGGAAATAATTAGCAGCACGAAACCCTGGGAACGAACCAACTAAGAACCTACTGATCAACAAATATTCCGAAGAAAATGGAGATGGATGGATAGGGCACACGTTGACGAGACTGTCGAATGACATCACGAGCCAGGCCATCACTTGAGTGGAACCTGAATGGGAAACGCTGAGCAGAGCGTCCGAGGGTGGAGTGGAGGTGAGAGATTATGGGCAACCATGGGGCCAGCTAAAGAGGGCTTCAGGAAATAGGACAATGTGGAGATGTGTTGCTGAAGCCCTACGCTCCACTCGGAACCCAAGGGAACAATAATAAATAAGTTAGAAAACCATTGGAAAACCTGGGAGTACTGGACAGCTGTTTCGTCCTAGCTTGGGACTCTTCATCGGTACTCACCCACCGGGGTTCGAACCCAGGACCTTCTGGTCACAAGCTAGAATGAAACAGCTGTCCATTACTCCCACGTTTTCCAATGGTTCTCTAACTGATGTCAGCTCATGATGAAATCCTCCAACCAGTCGAACTGAATCCCTAAAAAAACCAATACTTGAAAATAACAAATAATACTATCATTGATATGAGAATAGAACTTGTGCACTGTGATAGAGTATGATTCCATTATGCGTAAAATTTATTTTTATAAGTTGTGAGTACCTCGGTATGATTATGAGTAATAAATTGTGCTCGAAACGTCATCAGTAAATATATTACTGTATAACATTGTGAGACTTAATCAAAATCAATTTTACCCAAAATGGAAATAATACTATTTTTACGAGTTGATCACGGATTGATATCAGTTAGAGAACCATTGAAAAGCAGGGAGTACTGGACAGCTGCTGTTTCATCCTAGTTTGGGAATCATCGGAAGTACGCACCCACTGCCAGGATTCGAACCCAGGACCTTCCGGTTACAAGGCAAGCTCGTATACCATTCAGCCACTGGGACCCGATTCAATGGCCAGTTCATGAATTCTAACTTATACCAATTCGTGATTTTAGCGCGACCCCAACTATTGTCGTTGGTGGGACATCCATCCACACACGTGACATCTAGTTGGACCTCACTGGTCACGACTTCTCACTAGAACTCCAGGAAGCTCCAACCTGTAGCAAGTCACTAGCGAGCATCAGAATAATTTTCTATAGTTTGGTTTGTTAGGATTAGTTATGTTTTACGAGTTGATCTCTAACTGATATCAGTCCGTGATCAACTCGTAAAACATAACTAATCCTCACAAACCAAACTATAGAAAATAATACTATTGATTGATTTGTACTACTTAATTGTTGCTGAGTAATATAAAGCACTTTTCCATAACAAATATTAACCCCTTTTTTCCAATAGATTTATCAAAATTACTTATTTTCCGCATCAAATGATGGTAAAATTTATGTTTGGCGTTATTCAACCAATGAGCAAATGATAGAAACAAATGAAAATGGAAATAACAACCAAAATATTGATTGACTGGCCAACACTGATCACAACTGATTGATTTGTTTTAATTTATAAATGCAGAATAATCAATATTGATCAGAAAGATACTCAGTTGTTTCACTTCTCATATTTTTTAGTTATAATAAGCGACAATAATTAACCTATTTTGTCAATAAATGATGAAAAGTTTAGAAAACAAAAATCTTGGGAGTTTTGATATTTGATTGCGAACGCGTCATAATCAACCAAGCTATTAATAAAAAATGAAAGCATTTTAGCTCAAAGGAATGTTGTATAATATAACAGTAGTTGGCATGGGATTAACCCATGAAAGGTTTTGACTGCTCGGTTTTATCCATGTATAGGGAGGTGTAGACTGTTTGGATGGTGTCTTTGAGATGTTAAAAACTAATGACTGAAGACTGTTGGTGATATAACTCAAAGTGGTCTTCAATGGCGCAGATGTATTCAGCTGTTTGTTTTAATCTCCCAGATACATTAAATACTCATTTTGTTTCTCTCCATGTTATTATTCTTTCTCTGTACATTTCTGCTCATTATAGTTCCTTTGAATATCCTTTTCTAGCGTTTGTCTACTTTTGTTTGCTAACACTGAATACAGGCAACTTGAAGTGTTGCACTTCTGTGTGAAGTTCTATGTTGAAACTCACTTAGTCAGTGTGTCAGTACGGCATGTATATCCACCGACTACTCACTACTTAGTAGAGTATGTTATGTTTTTAATGTGCCGAAGAAAATGGAGATGGATGGATCGGACACACGTTGACGAGATCATTGAAGGACATCGCGTGCCAGGCTGTTGCTCGAGTGGAACATGAATGGGAAACGAACAGTGGGGCATCTTAGGGTGACATTGAGGAGGTCGTGCAAGGAGGAGACAACAGGCTATTGGCAACCAGGAGGCCAAAGAGGACCGCAAAAAATAGGACAATGTGGAGATGTGATGCTGAAGCCCTAAGTCCCACTCAGAACCCAAGAGAACAATAATAATAATGTTTTCAAATCGTTTCTGTCTATCATGTTAGCGATGAGTGAACAAGTGGAATATTTTAGAAAAACTTTGGGAAATACGATATGTTTTGAGTAATTACATAAATTATTTTTTTGAATTTAAATAAGTCTTTGTTCACATTGCTTGATTTTCCTGCAAAACTGTACGCCGAAGTTGTCGCAGACCTCACTATGAATTATCTAGGCGAGACACGACGTTATGAATTTTTAATACTTGAAGCAACCTATTGGGTCTGTGCTGATTAAATGGCTGAATCTCAACGTAGAACTTTGCATAGAAGTGCAAAAGTTCAACTTACGACACTCCATATACATACCCCACAAAGGTAGAAAAAAGAAACAAAAAAATTCAAAGGAACTGTAATGAGCAGGAATGTGAAGCGGAAAAAATAGTAACATGGAAAATCATCAGGATTTAATGGATACAGGAGATCACAAAAAGTGAATGCATCTGCGCCATCCATTGAGAACGAATTTTGAGCCATACCACCAATAGTCTCCAGTCGTCATTTGGCTCTTACCATCCCGACAACTCCAACAAGGCAGTCAGTACTTCCCTAAATGCCTAGCTCAAACTAACTGTTACAGATTTCATGAATTGATATTATGTTTTGTTTCGACAATCCCTAACTGTTTTCTAACCCAACTCCTCTATGTTAGCTAACAAAGCTCGTTAGGAAAGGCGGTGTCTTAACATAATCAAAAGATGTAGATTCACAACCGCATCGATTGACCTTACCTAGAAGTCTACTCTTAGTCTCAACATTACTCATCATTTAACAACACGTAAGATAGAACGCAAACGTTTGTAATCAGAAACAACTAGTCTTTTCATAACTTCCATGCTACTTTAGACACACATTGATGCAAAAGTTTACGAAGTGTAATGCATTCAGAACAAAACCTCTGCAGTGGTAAACCACATAAATTGCCTCAGTGGTATCCGGTTAGACGTGAAAATGGCTCTACCTACTATAAGCAAACAAAAATATATAATAATAATAAACTGATTTATAAAAAATGTGTGTTTTGTGCGATAAATTCTGAACCTAAAAGTGTGTATGATGGCCAATAAATTCTACATGAATTAAAAGAGAGGGAATAGATGTCACTCTATGACAAATAGGTTTATCTCCATTACTAAGGACATTTACTTGCTTTTAATCTCTTACGTGGAACAGATATTTCACGTACCAGACTAAGAGCCATATGGGTTTTCTGCATGAGGCCTGGTGACACTATCCAGTTGCCTAGACTGAAGTACGTGGAGTAGGACAAGAACCCGGGAACTGCTAGCTGAAAGCCTTGTGATTAAGCCAATAAGAAACATCTCCACACATTGATAAAGAAAATACCCCCACTGTATTTATTAATATACATGCTCGAGTAGTCAAACATACATTAATAAAACTGATTAGTATATAATATATATATATATATATATTGAGTGCGTCGGTGGCATAGCGGTTAGGACGCTCGCCGACCATGCATATGGTCCGGGGTTCGATCCCCGGCCGGCGCACTCCTTTACCTTGCTAAACCAGAAATAATGCTGATGAAGAGGAAAGGTTGGGCATGAGGCTAGCAACTCCATCCCGTAAAATAAACACTGCTACAGAAACTTCAAGCCACTAGGTTGAAGCCCTATGTTCCACTGGGGAAAGTGAAGGAAAATTATATATATATATATATATATATATACATATATATATATATATATATACAACATCCAAACTATACAACTATGAGAAAAAATGTTCGCACTGAAGGAGAATAAAACACACTTTCATGCATTATTTAAGTTTATGAACGAAGATCATCGAAAATATATCTTATAGCAATTTGAAACCTCGTGGACAATGAAGTTTAAGCTACTCTCACGTTAATTCACAATACGCCACACCGTTATGCTCTCCTTCATAAATCCGAATTTGTAAACAAATTCCCTCGCTATTCATAAATTCTACTTTCAACTCAGTCCCCTAACTATCTGATCCTTTAACTAAACATATCCTTTTTAATACGTATCTTTAATAAGTAATTGTGTCGTTATATTGTTCTAAAGACTTAACACAAACCTGCAACACCATTTAATCAAATTACATCTCTTTATTTTTTTATTAAATTTCATAAATTTTATTGATCTTCTTAAGTAAGTGGAGATTACATCAAAAACACAAGGTTTTGCTGTAGATATTAAATACATATAACCCATAGAAAATGAGAAAAAAATCAGATAAATAAAGAAATGAATATTTAAAACCTAATAGTAATAGGAAAGATACTTATCAACTCTAAAAGCAAACTCAAAATCAACAGTAATAATAATGATAATTGTAATGATAATAATGGAATGAAATTATCTGAAAATGCTCTTTTTATTGAATACAATGAAGCAAATATCAAAAGAGAATTGGTCTAGATCATGTACAGTCTGACAAATCAAAGGAAAATTTACATGATAAAGAAATCTCTGGAGATTTTTAAATATAACGAACGACATATAGACTATGGAGTGTTATGATATATTAGTTTTTTATAATGATATTCCACATCTTTCTAAAAGTGATGTAGGGACTTCTCCTTGATCTATATGCTGACATAATTCAAGTAGCTAAAATAAATAATGTATCACTAAGGATGAAAACTGATAAATATTTTACCTTGTCAATATCACGTTTCATTCTCATGACAGTCAATTCACGTAATCGTACACTTTCAGCTAGAAACTGAATTCGAAGAGCTTTGCGTTTTCTACAGTCTTTAGCGCTTTCAGAGCTTTTCGATGTTGTAGGAGTAGTTGTATCACCATTTAGACGATTATCGAAAGCCAGATGATTATCACCATTTGGCCTTTTCATTCCCTGTGCGTATGTAATGCAGTAACTCTAAAATCTTTATAAAAATAAGCAATGCCATTAGGGATATTAGTAACCTGTGAAATCAGGAGAAAAGAAGTTCAGAGAAGAATCTTCCCAGTGGTTTTATCCTCAACAGCGATACAGTAGTAATTTTACACATCTTTGAATTAACATTTGAAAGGTTGGCAAATTAGCAGTATTACTACTTTAAATTTGACATACGAAGAGTAAGACTTTTTGTTACACTCAGACAGAAGTTTTTAAAAGTCAGAGCTAGGGTTTAAATAAGTTTTATCCTCAATGATTTGCAGTTCCTTACAGGAGAAAATAGGAAACTTGAACACAAACTTCAAAATGGTTTCATCGACAACCTTAAGTAGTGGTAGAGCACGAAAGCAAGTGATAAAATTTGGCTAATTATTCAGGTTGGTTAGAGAGAAAAGCCCCATAAGAAGTTTATTACGAAATTGGAGGCGATTAAAATACCTTACGGCAGTGTATGAGTTAACCATAATCTTCTTTAATCTAAATGATAACTCTAAACTTGAAAAATGTCGGAGTACATGCGTAACGATTGATGTGGAATATATACATATATATGACACCATTATATTAGTAGAGTTAATGTATGGCTTATATTGGGGCCTAAAGGGAGCAATATCCAAGAGTTATTACGTTAAGAATGATTATTTCTAGTGACCAAGTGAGATTAGGAATGTTGTTGCGTTTAATAATAGCAAAAGTCTTGAGTCTAGGAATAATGGTGGCTTTGCCTAAGAACAACACTGAGTTGACGTTCAGCCGTCCATTTCGAGTAGCGTTTGAAAGGGTCAGAGTCAAGGATTACTCCTGTGTTCGCCGGACATTGTCGTCACAAGAAAAGCCGGTTTTAAGTTTGGAAAACTGTCATATAAGTGCGTAATAGACATTTATTTAGTGCCAAACTAAGGTTATTTAAATTAATTATCATTCAACCGTTCATAACCAATGTACTTTAGTGAAAGATATCCCAGCATCCTGAGTCTTCTCTTAGCTGACTTTCATGGTGAAATTAGAGAATCTTCCAGGGAAGCATGTAATCAACGAACTTTCATTCGACTGTAGATACATAGGTGGTGTTTTTATCTAGCAAATGAATAACGACACCAAAGTCCCCAAAACGTTCAATATGTCTCACCCACAAATTGAATTCACATACGAGAGAGAAACACAATACTTTATGGTTTCCTGACGTCATGCTAACAAGCACGACAACAGTAGTAAGAGGGGCGTTTCCCAGAAAAAAATTATAGGTTGGCCGATATAGCTATGTCAGATCGTTTGTTCTTCTTGCATAAAAACGAAATTTCATCACTACCCTGCTGTTTCGTGCTGGAAAAATCTGCACAACCGACGCTTCTGACGATGAAATAAGGAAGACAGAAAACTTATTATGTGAGAACGGATATCCAGCTAAATTTGTTTAAGTCTCCATGATGAGAACGGATAGAAAGAAATGCCCGCTAACGGTACAGAAGAGAAGCATGTATATGACCTCATCGTTCAAAGGAGATGCAGTCATTAAGTTACTGACACCTACACTCCGAAATAAAATAGCCAAAACATTCTTTGCCGCAACACTATGTTCAAAACTCACCACTAGTTGTATAGTTCCAATGCAGGTGAAGTGTAAGCTACTGAGTTTGGGCAATTGAATGTGTATTTATACATTTAACTGTTACATAGGTAGAACGAATCGGAAGTCCCATCATCACCTTTCTGAGCAATGTGGTTAGGTGAAGGAGTCGTAAAGCTAATAAGGAGTGCCATATTGGCGCACGTTGTGGATACAGAGCACAAGACTGATACAAATTCAGTCTTTACAGTTATGCACAAGGTATAACCTCAATTCCCTAAGTTTGTACACCTTCGATTGCTAAGTGCAGTTGAGGCAGTTACCATAAAAAAAATTTCATCGCAGTGTTTGTATTCAGAAAAAGTTTGTGCAATCCCTCTCCCTCTCATGGCCTTCAACCCCAACCTAGAATAGTTGTCTCTCCCGGTAACACCGGATACCAGTAAAAATTACTTTTATTTATCTTGTTTTACTTGTAACTGTTATATTTCACTATTTCATCTTTAATTTCACAATTTATCATCATTATTACATTCCTCTTGATTATATTTAGTTATATTGAACCACAATGTTAAGACAATAAAAATAAAGCTTTCCGTAATGTCGCTCCGTAACAGATGGAGCCATTGAGCCTACAAAATATTCCTACATCTAGCTATTATGACAGATGTTATTAAATCATGATTTTGTGTCACCTCAAGTTCCTTAACATTAATTTCACTTGTTTGATTTGGAAACTTTTTCAAAATTAAGTTGTGAATTCTGATGAGATTTAACCCAAAATGCTTATTTGTTTGCTTAAATCGTGTTCTCTAATTATCATAAATGAAATGTTTAAATTGTTTAAAATATAAGCCTCCAAAAATACTGCCATGTGTTATTGTTAAAGTAACAGCATCGAAATTCAGAAAACATTATACAAATTTAACTGTAGGAAACACTAATAAATAATGTAACATGCTCACTAGTTAAATGCTAAATGCAATAAGTAGACTTCGATGTAACGTAAAGATTCGAAGTAAATCGTTATTCAATGCTCAATACCCCAAATCCTCTGATAACTCAGTAAAAGCTAAATAGGTTTCTTCTTGCCGGCTTCTGGGTGACTAAAGAAAGAGTTCAGATCTATCCTAGATCTTGAGACCCTGAATATATACTTTTAATTATAGAATATTTTAGGTAGAATAATGTTAGTTCAAATTCAGATTCGCATTTCAGATACCTATTTTTTGTTTTTTCGGTTACAGCTTGATTCCACACAGTATTTTTGGTAAAAGTATGGGATTTCCAGCATGTGATATTGGTAGCCCAAATTTTGTACGCCGACCATAGATATCGGGTGTGCGTTGGCAGCGGATCGAACCCCGGACCATGTGCATGGTCGACGATAGTCCTAACCGCTATGTCACCAACGCGTTGGTTAGGTGAAAAAAATTTGAAGTCTGTATCAATCCACTTCTAAATGGCATCTCAGTTTATTCATTTACTCCTTGAGAGAGACATATGGAGCAACAACTACCCCATGGTACCACAGTTCGTCCATGGCTTTGAAACACTCTTGTCATGTCAGCTGAATTATTTTGACCTCGCGGGGATAAAAAGAGACGATAAACTTCAAAACAAATCGGCCGTGCTAACAATCGCAGGGGAAGCCTTCCGCTAAGCTATTTTTAACATCTGAACAGCAACTTATAAGCAAGAGCTGGTAAGCTGGATTCAGTTTGGACCTCATCAGTGATGCACGTAGGCGCTGAACATTCCAGAATCGAATTTGGGCAGTGCTGAGGAATGTAATTTTGCATCAAGCGAGCTTATTTTATAAAGCACAGTGTGTGATACAACACTGATAACTAGATGTTTCCGGTAAAGTTTCTTGCTCCTCATATCATAATTCCCAAAAACGTCATAGTTTTCGTTATCTACTCTCAGATCGCCTCGTTTTTACTGCACTTTTTCCGCATACGCGGTATTGCAATTACGTCACTTCATAATGTTAAATAGTGCTGATTAGATCATGTGAGCAGCTGGATACTACTCAAGTCAACCAGTAGTTGTTGCTACTTAAGTCACCGAGGGATCTGACTTCGCTCCCACCGCTTCACTCGTTTTGGAACAATCTTGTCCGAAGTGTTCCAGATTTGACTTAACCCACGGAGCAGAGTCAAACCACTCAAATTCCAGACAGCTACTTGGTCGAATTCGCAACACAATGGATCAAATTTGCTATCTGAGAGCAGATCCGACCACTCAGAGTAATTTATCGTTAGAATACACTATTATGCATTTATGATTGCTTTATCGGAAGCTATCTTTGGTGTGCAGAAGATCGGAACACATATTGCGATCTTAATAACTTTCATTTAGGAAGGTAACTGTGACAAATTTTCACTTTGAAGTGACTAAATTGCGGATCTCGGGATTATCTGAAAGTTGCATCATTTCTTTCATCAACATTTGGTGTTGATTGGGTGAGATGAACCCTGTGGCTAACCTCTATCTACCTAACTACTCTTCTTCAAATATTATGTGTATAAGTGTGTGTATATATATAAATAAATAAATAAATAATAGTATATTCTCATTTCGTACATGAGGGACGCCAGTTTACAGGCATCATCAATATGATAAATTACATATACGATTTGTAAACATATTTAATAATAGTAATTTAATAAAATACATTTTTTCATACCTGTTTAGGACACACCAATTGTACAGGCATGGATAAGTATTATTTAAATTACATAAATTTGGTTCATGGTAAAATTATATGGTTGCAGTCATTTTGTCTATGGGAACAATATGATAACTAGTCATTCAATGGAGCACATCAAGAAATATAGAAATATTGTCTTCGCATTAACAAAAAAAACCCGAGTATGTTTTGGATGGATTACAAATACTTGGGAAAAAATAAAGCTTGAAGTAATTCCTCCATATAACTTTGGTGTGTACGGCATCGAGTCTTATTCTTGATAATAATTTAAAATAAGTAATCCACTTGTATACTTTTGTCAGCATTTTCTTCGTAACATCACAAGTGAATAGTGCTCAAGGTAGACTAATAATAATGATAGTTTATATTTTCTTATAAACGGGTGTTTTCAAGAAATGCAAGCTATTTTGCAGACAAGATCAGTTATGTTATAAGTTACATTCGTGAAGTATTATAAATCAATACTTTTATATTGGTATAAAGATATATTTCACAACTGTAATCCAGGTTGCGTCGTTGGTGAAGGCAATGCGCAATTCACGAGGGAATTGTAAGTTATGGGACCAATAATGTTTGCAGATCATTTGTCATTGTAAATGGGCAAATATCTACATTCTTCGTTCTCATTCAGAAAGTTAAATGGAAGCTGAAATGGTGAGAGACAAAAGAAGACAAACAACAACAACGCTAAGGAAAGCAAGTGGAGTACTTAGGGGGTGATTAATGTGTATATATTCATATATATTCTGTTTAGTAATTATAGTTATTTTGGTGCACTAACTAACTATTCCCGTGATGCTAACTTTTATATTGTGTGAGCTAATATTATTGTCCTGTGTAAAAATGTCTATCATGTACTTCCAATAATATAAAAATCTATAATTGTAGTTTGTTGTAACTACACGTTTAATGAACTTAAAATATCTATGTTGGACGAAAAAGTGGGTGTAGGATTCAGACTCAGAAGTGCACTGTCATCTTTGAGCAGTCTGGTGACTGAGGAGATGAACGCTGCGAGTGTGTTTGCATCGCGCACATCAGCTGGTAGTCTATTCCAAATGACTGAAAACTTATTTAAGAAGGAATTATACCGCATGTAAGTCTGACAATGCTCTGTAGCAACTAGGTTGTGACGATTTCTAAGATTGTAACTGATGACAGCGGTAGGTTTAATTAATGGCTCGGAGGAGTGCACGAGCAGATTAGTTAGCTTGTAGTAAAAAATCAGGTCTAGCTTAACACGTCTTTTCCAGAGTGGTTCTAAACTTAGTCTGTCGCAACGTTCATAGTATTGGAGACCACTTTCTAAACCAAGAATTCTTAAGGTGAATTGCCGTTGCACTCCCTCTAATTTAAGCTTGTCATTTTGTCTGAGTCCGCTAAGAATAAACGGGCAGTATTCTAAAATAGGTCGGACACATACTTTATATAATAAAACCCTAGTTTCACAACAAAAGAAATTGCGAGTTATGCATCCTAGGAGCCTTCGTGTTTTACGTCTGGCATAATCAGTTGGTTCAAAGAACGTTAAGCTACTAGAGTATCTGATACCGAGATCTACAACTGAGTTAAGCTTGGCTAGTTTACGCCCATTTATTTCAAGATTCAGGTCAAGGTTACTGTTTCCGATACAAATCCAGCCGCATTTATCAATGTTGAACTTTAGACAGGATTCAGTACACCATGTTGCGAGACTACTTAGTTCAAGATGTATTTTATTCACCATATCGCTTAGTTCATGAGCGTGGCAGGAGTAAACGACTTTGAGGTCGTCAGCATATAGGAATGATTTACCTGAGGCGAAGCAGTTGCAAATGCTGTTAATGTATACTGTAAATAAAAGTGGACATAGGACACTACCTTGCACAACCCCACTTGTGATCTGTCTGGGATGAGACAACACAGATCCAACCTTGGTTATTTGTACCCTATTGCTTAGAAACGATTTTAACCAGCTCAGTAATGGATTGCTAATCCCACATGAATACAGCTTCTCAAAGAGAATACTGTGAGATACCATGTCAAATGCCCTAGATATGTCGAAGTAGAGAACAACAACTAGCTTACGTGCTTCGCGACTACTAGTGACGCAGTTGAAAAAGTCGAAGTGGCAAGTAACGCAAGACCTATTTTTGAGAAATCCGTGTTGAGACCTTGTAACAAGATCTTCCTTAAGTAGATAGTCTGACAACTGATCTTTGACAACTTTCTCCATGACTCGCGAGACAACTGGGGTTATATTTATAGGTCTGTAATTGCGGACGTTTGCCCTATCTCCGGATTTATAGTGTGGAATTATGAAGCTAGTTTTCCACTCATTAGGGTAAGTGCCAGTGTCCATAGATATCGAGAAGAATTTAAGAAGTAGTAGGGGTATATCACACCCACTGTTTTTGAAAATTATGGAAGCAAGGCCATCTGGTCCCGTGCTAGTGGAAGGTTTCGGGCTTTTAACTGCTTGTTCTATTAATTGGTCGGTGAACACTATGCTTCCGAGGAAAGAGCTAGTAAGGGGGCCGGTTTCACCAGGAATGCGCGTTTCTAAACTGAAGCTTGCAAACCACTCACTGAATATTTCACAGATGGTGGCAGGCACATTGTAGATAACTTTGTCATGAAGTAAATAGGGGATGTCCCTAGTTGACTGCATTCGTTTTTTAAGAAGTGTTGTTAAGTTATAAGCTTTGGAGGTGCTTTCAAGTGCCCTTAATTCTTCGTCGAGGTCCTTTTGAGAGCGTTGGTGCTTGATGGATTCAAGAGACTCATGGATTGAGTGCAGTAGTGATATATCCTTAGTGGAATAGTACTGTTTCTTCAACTTCCTTAACTTATTGCGGCATGCCCTCGGAATGTATTCAGCTTGGTGTCTACTTAATTTCATTACCTTCTTAGGGGCAACAGTATCTAGACAAAGGATAACATTCCTGTAAAATAAGGACACTACAGTCTTCAGGGAGTCAGTGGTAAAATATTCATCCCAGTGACAGAGTCGAATGAGTTCTTGGACTAATCCCCAGTCTGTATGTTTGTAACTACGACAAATCAAGCTCCCTGAATCCTGTTTGTTTCCTGTATTTAGTGGTGAGAAAGGCAGAGAGCAGAGCACCATTCTATGGTCACTACTGGAAAATCTGTTACCAACATAGGTGGAGACTGGGATTGTGTCATGACAAAACACAAGGTCCAACATGTTGTCACCACGAGTAGGTTTCTGGACGTGTTGCTGCCATCCATAACAATCGATAGTGGCAAGTAATTCGTCGAAGCGTTGGGGGCCGGAAATACTTAACCAATTGACTTCTGGAAGAT